AAAAAAAAAAAAAATTGACAAATGGTATTTGTCAATTGATGAGCTAAATTTATATACATATTAATAGGAAATTTTTACTTTGATATTATTGATATTTGGATGGGTTTTATGGAATTTTGTTTGATTTTACATGGTTTCCATTCTTTGTGTAGAAAAGGATTTAATTAGAAGAAATCATACTTTTTAGAAGTAAATTGAAGAGATCAGAGACTTGAGGATCAACTTGTGCAGAATCCAGAAGTCAGGAACCAATTCTGTTATTTTACCATTGAAGAAATTGCAAAAGGAGGCTAGAAACCCGACACGGGTGTAGTGTCGACACATGATCGGGTTGTCGACACCATGCGTTAAACGTCCAGAATCAGATTCTGTTCCCTATTTTGTGTCAACACGTAATCCGAAGTATCAGCACCACACGATCAGCATCCAAAATTCAGTTTCCTATTTTTGTTCCAAGTCCTACTTCTATTCCAACTAGGGTTTCTAAAATCCTATAAATACCCATCTAAATTCAGAATTGAGAGAGCTTTGGGAGGTTTGTGGCAGCTCTCTTTTGGGCATTATTGGAGATCAAGATTGGGGTTCCATCAACAATAGAAGATCAAGGAGTTCGATTTCCTAAAATTGGGTTTTGTTTTTCCTTGAGTTTTTATCTATTGTTTGATATTTGAATATTTATAACTTTGATTTCATATTTTATTATTTGTATTATGGACTGATTTATTTTACTAGGGCTACGATGTAGCCTAATTAATTTAATATGGATTTTGTGATTTTATTCTTTCAATTAAAGTTATTCGCGTGAGGAGTTTATATTATTGAACTTAATGCATTGGAAGCCTGATCATCTTTCAATTGATTTAGTAATTTATGCATGAACTTGAGAAAGAATTGCGTAGATTAGACCAATAATAATATAAACCGTGTGCTAGACTATGAGACCGAGAGGTAATTAGCTCACATGTGATAGTGGAGGAAGAGAAGAGAGTTAGGAGCTCCCCCTTCTTAAGCTAGAGGTTTCCATAGAATCTAATGCTCATTAGTTTGTTTAAAATTACATAGAGATATGATTAATTTAACAAATCAGTGAAGGATTAACTTGACTTGAGAAAGCTAGTTAATTAATTTAGGGAAATCCGCCATCACATGCAATAACACTCAACAATTTGGTAATCCAGAATTTATATTAATTGATTATGGTAAAGTCAATGCCTTAGTATTTCATATCTTGGGTAGTTTTATTTTAATTGTTAGTTTCTTTTTGTATTTTAATTAAAATTCCATCTTTTAGATTGTTCAAATAAATTTAGATTAATTGTTTTGGTACTTAATTAGACACAATCCTCGTGAATTTGACACTCTCTCATCATTATATTGCTTGGAGCGACTAGTACACTTACTAGGGTGATTTTAGTGCATCAAGTTTTTGGCGCCGTTGCCGGGGATTGTTGATTTAATTAATATCGAAGTTGGTTAATTCTAGATTTAATTTGAACATTTTCTTTTATTTCTTTACTTTGATTTTTTTTCTTTTCTTTTTGTTTTTGTAGGTCTAACTATGAATCGAGTTGCCATAGGTACTTATGTGAGTTATCATTGGCTTGCACCAGAGATAAGAGCACAAGTTGAAGCAATAACTGTCAATTGGGATGCAGAACTTGACAATGATGAACTTGAACGAATTCAAGCAGTCATTGAAAGGATCGAATTAAGGAAGGCTCGAATAGAATGATCAAATATCACTTGTGAATGGTGTGGATTAGACCATTTTAGTTCTGATTGCTTATTTAAACGATATAATAAGTGTGCTGATTTTTCTTGTGAGTTTTATAGTTAGCAGTATAATTCTTATCCCAATACATGCCATTTTGATCCAAACACCTCATGGAATAATGAAGATATATTGGAGCCACAATCAGGGTTTCAAGCTCCAGAAGAGGAGACATGTTTAAATAAAAATTTGGAGGTCCAATCAAGTCATTTGCTCAACTTAGTTGCTGAAAAGATACAAGGTGAGTTACCTAGTGCAACAATGAAAAATCAAGAAGAAGAGGTGAACATCTTACCCTTAGAGATTGAAGGACAACTTGGAGAAGTAGAAATTATGCCTGCAGAAACTAAACAAGAGGATGTCCCTAAGGAGGAAGAGGGAGAAGCTCAAGTATCATTTGAAGTGTTCAATGAGGAGCCTCTTTTAACCAAATCTGATTTTAATGATTATTTTGTTATTGATATGGTTGATGAGATTTTGCAAAAAAACACTTATGAGGATCCATTTGAGATTTACCTTATTCAAGCAAAGAACCCAATCAAAAAATACATAAATTGCTTGAACACATCATCTTCCTTGGAATCAAAAGGGGCACTTCTAGAAGAATTGGGAAGGCACATCTGCTGGCCTAAACCCAAACCACCTCAAAATAGTCATTGGAGAAAATCTTGTGGTGGATTCAACTTAAGGGCAAGAAAGCCAAGATTTAAGAAACCGAGAGCACATGCCCAACGACCTGATCCAAAACCACCTTGGAGTGGTGGAAAGTCTAGCTAATGACTATAAATTCAGCGCTTCTTGAGAGGCAACCCAAGCATAAAATTTTCTTTTCTTTTATTTTTCTTTTATAGTTCAGATTTTTTTTTAATTTTTTCTTTTTCTCTTTATGGCCTAGGTTAATGTATAAATTTTTGTTCTTTGATTTTGGCCAGGTCATTAAACAAGTTTGGGGGACAAGATTATGGAAATTCACATGCTAGAAGTCTCCTCTAAATGAAGACAACTCAACTCCAAAATTTAAAGTTTAAGTCTTCAAGTGCAAAACCTGGGAAGTTTCTCTTTTCTCTTACTTTTATTTTACATTGAGGACAATGTTTGATTTAAGTCTGGGGGAGAGAATAACTTTTAGGCATCCATTCATCTATTAGTTGCATTCATGTTTGCATGATATACATTTTTTTTTAGAAATTAGGGATTTTTTTTAGGAATTGGTCCAATTAGTGTCAAGGAATTGAATATTCTTGAGTTAGAGCTTTTAAAATCTTTTAATCTTAGAGGAGATACAAATCTGAAAAATAACACCATTGTGATG